TGCTGGCTGTTGGCTGCTGGCTTGCAACTTCTATTGTTAGGTAAGACTGGTCTGAGGCCTGAGTCACTCAGTTCTCTCTCTCTCTCTCTCTCTCTCTCTCTCTTGAAATTGCTGGTAGCCCAGGCTTGTCTCAAATTCATGGCAGTCCATTTTCCTCAACTTCCAGGGTGCTCAGATTATAGGTGTGAACCATTATACCTGGCCTGACTTTACATCAGTTTTCCCTCCTTAATGGTCACATGGCAATGTGGGTAATTTTTCTTGAGCAGACTGGGTGTGAAACTTTGTGTCAGCCTTCCTGAAGGTTTTAGTTGATCATGCCAAAGGGCTGGTGCATGTGTGTGTGTGAGTGTGTGTGTGTGTGTGTGTGTGTGTGTGTGTGTGTGTGTTGCTCTCCCACTATTCACCTCTGTGCTCTTTGGCATCTTGGGGAGGGTTGGAGTCTGCAAAAACCCATGCCCTCTCCCTCAACCTCTTGTGTTGGCGTCTTCACGCACACTTTGCTATAAAGTCTGGCAGCACAGAGGTAGTGAAATGGGGTACCAGAGTCATACAGTGGCTGGGGAATGCCATGTGCTGGTTCCATGGGTCTGCAACCTCAGGGAGACAAAGTTGCCTCTGGAGTCCCAGCTCTGCCTCATAGAGGCTGAGGGGCCCTTTTCAGGTCATTTGACTTCTCTCTGTCTCCATCTCCTAACTTCCTGGTCTCAGGGAGTCGGTATCTTACCCAGAGGCAGACGCTGCATGCACACCAGGATGACACTTGAGCCACATATTGTCATGTGACCATTAAACTCAAGTGCTGAGCTTCTGACATCAGGTTAGGTATGAGAAGCCTGCTGCTGTGACTCTCTCCTCGGGACAGGTCAGTGGGAATGCCTCTGGTGTCAGGGTGGCAGCGGGATAAAGGTGACCCAGTCATTCCCTTGATGAAAGTGCTGTGTTTGTCCCCTTCTTGGTGGCATCTGTGCATGAAGGAGGGCCTGGGTGAGGAGAGCAGTTCAGCCTGCCCCTGCTCCTTCTGGGCAACCTTGGAACAGAGGGTCTAGATCTTGAAACTTCTTCCAACCTCCTGGGTGTCTTTTTAGAACCTCATCTATGCTAGATGCTAACCCCACATGAGTAGTGGAGAAAATAGTACAGGCAGACAACAGTGGGAGAGAGTGAGACCCCAGCCAGTGCACCAGGCGTGGGCATCTCTGCCCCACCAGAGGGCAAAGCCCAGGCAGATGTCCAGCATACCCCACTACCAAAAACCCCTCTGCACCCTAAACAGGCCACCTCATGCTTCACCTGCTTCCTCCAGAAAACGTTCGTTCACCTGCCACCTAAGAATTTCCATTTGCACGTGGGTGGATTAGCCTAGGAAGTGGAAGGCACCCTGGACGCTGGCAGGAGGAGAGGGTGTTGGAGATTTGAGCTCTGTTTCCCTGCTGCAATCGGAGAGGCAGGCTGGGCGGTGCGGTTAAGTACACCGCAGGGCATTGCCATATTGTCTCTGTTCAACTCTCCAGGCTCCTGTTGCTGGGGTTTCCTAGTAGGCTCAGCCTGTCCTTCCTTTACCCTCAGCTTCTGTTTTTAGGGTCAATATACTTTTATTTCTGGAAGGATTAGGCACTTTTAAAAGTTAGATTTGGTAAGTTTTGCTTTCTACATCACGTGGCTCATTTATCTGCCGTTCACTCCTCATTCACTCTTACACAGACTGACTGACTGACTAACTGACCCGCTCGCTCGCTCACTCACTCACTCACTCACTCACTCATTCACTCACTCACTCACTCACTCACGGACATTTACCTGGGGTCTATTCCATCTTGGGCCTGTGCTGTCTAAAGTTAAGAAGATGGGAGACAGAAAGTGCACTGATGATGGTCAGTTTAAATACTTCTCAGGCCTGGGGAATTCACTGTTTTAGGGAGTCACTGAGAAGTTGAAGTGTTTTATTGAGGTTGGTATTTGCTTCTGAGCAAGATGGGAGGCTGAACAGAAGAGGTGCTTGGGAAACACGAGGCCTACGAAGACTCTCAAGCCCAAGGATGCATGCCTCCAGCTGTCCTCAGGCTTTGGGAAGCTTGTCTGGAGTGCCTGAGCCTCTTGTGGGGTCTGTTCTTTATCATCTCTCCTTTTACCATCTCCTCCCAATTCTGAAGCTCCTGTCCCTATCCAGCCCTCTCTGACCCCTTAAGGCTGAGCCCTGGTACGCTTGGCTCCCTACCCTGCCTCACAACAGGGTCAGAGTGAATTATGCCCCACGTGTGGTTGCCCGGTGACTCCCTAGATATGCTTGTTCCCACATCCTAGAGCATTTCCAGGGATAGTGCTGATGAGGCAGGCTGTGATATTGCACAAGGAACGGACAGAGCCAGATACCTGTGGTCTTGCCTGGTGGGAAACATGGTCCTTTGGAAGGGGGCCACTCAGTTGGTGGCCACTGGGGCCCTTCTTTAGCCTTGCTTCTCTGAGCTATGAGCCAGGGGGGCTCCCAGAGGCTGAGTTGCACCCTGGGACCTTTCTGCTCCCACACATTTTGCTCCAGCCATAGTGTGCTGTTCTTTGTCCCTGAACCACCATTCTGTCTTGCTGGTCCCATGCAATTTCCTCAATGTAGACGCCCTTCCTGGCTTCTCTGCCTGAAGAGAGCTGGCTCATCCTTTAACAAGTCTAAAGCAAGCACTCTTTCTTCTGGGATAGCTTCCAGCCACCCTGGGGGGATTTGCCTTGTTGGCTCAGGGGTACCTTGTAATCTCTTTGTGTGTGTGTGTGTGTGCCTCTGAGGCAGCACCTAGACATTGTCTCAACACCCCCACCCCTTGGCAAACAGCTGTTTATAGGCCAGGGTGGATTATTTCAAAGCAGCTGGCTACCTGGAGCCACAGTGACATCGGGTTCCCTTCCCCTGGTAGAGAGGCAACTAGGGAAGCAGGCATGAAGAAAGAGCTTTCTTGGTTCTCTCACCAGGCTGTCTATTGCCCAACTCCCAGTTTGCCACCCCAAAGCCAAGGATGACATCACCAGAGTGGAGGGCTCCTGGACTCTGTACTTCAGTCTGAGGGGGACCTCCACATGCTACCAGGCCCCTGTTGCCAGTGGGCTGCCACAGTTCTTCAGCCAAGCCCACAAAATACTTTGGGGCTGTATAGGCGAGAAGAGGAGGCAGCAGGGACCATCTCGAAGGGCTGAGACTGACCTCCGGTATTAACGCCCTTGTCATGGTTGGATAGTAATGCCCTCTTCTTTGGATCATGGTATGCTTAGGGATTTCTTGAGTAGCACTGAATCCTGGCCAGGTTGGCTAGTCAAGGGTACCTATGGCACATTCCTATCCAGGCCAAGCACTCTGAGTCTGCCCAGGGCTGGTGGTCTGCTGTAGCTCTCCCTGCATACAAACCAACAGAATAAATTAAAGGGAAACCATTGTTAAGAGGCAGCCCTATGCGGGACTTTGACAATCTCCGACAGGGAGAGGCTGGAGGATGGAGGGGAGGAGCAGGGAGGACTGAGCCTGGCTTTGGGTTACCCCAGCCTCTCTTGCAGGCTGAGAGCTGGGCTCATCCCGGCCTCATCAGTGAGAAAGGACTGTTACACACAGGTAGCTTAGTGGTTTGCTCAGGGCAAGAGTCTGGCAATTCTCTTCTACAGTCTAGCTGTCATGTTGCCTCCTTTGCTTCGTGACCCTGGGCCTGACCCTTCACCCATGCTGCCCACCTGCCTTGCCCTTCCTCAACAATACCCAGCTTTTATTCCTTGGTAGCAAAGGGGTAGGGTGAGATGTGGTCCTGGCTATCACTTCCTGGAGTGGGTTCCTTGTTACTCACAGTCTCTCATTTGCTCAGGCTTCCTGGTTTGCAGACATTCTATTCTCATACGCTGGTTCGTTCAGCCTCTCCACGCACCCTGTGTGCCAGAGGTTTCATGAACCACACTGTTTCCCTTCAACAGGGGGAGGGAATGAGTTGAGACCCAGTGAAATGAAAGTCTCAAGACCTCACTGAGAGCTAGGCCCTTGGTCTTGGGTTGTCCATCCGGCTTTGTTCCTGTTGGCTGCCTCAGAAAGAGCTCCTTTTTTAGCAGCTCCTTCAAGAAGCCACCCAGGGCTTCTCAGTACCACTCAGCAGTTGTTCACAGTCAGAAGGCTGGCACTGCTCCTTGCCTGGCCCCAGTGGCCACCACTGGCCCCAGTTGGGGGGCACCTCTGCACAGGACCTCCTTTGATGGGGTAGCAGGTACTTCATTTCCAGCCCTGGTCAAGTATAGGCAAGGCAGCTCCTGGCACTGTGCCCTCAGCTGGGCCTTAGCATTTTGCCAGTCTTTTTACTGGAGGGTCATTGGAAGTGTTGGGGGTAGCACATACCCTTTTTTCGGGGGGGGGGAAGCTCCTTACTCCAACCTTTTTGTTTTAGTGCTTGAGCAATTGCTTAGTATTAGCAAATCAACAATAACAGTCTCCCACCTTAGGCCTGGTGATTATCTTTTCCCCTTCCTGGTCCTCAGTTATCCCCCTTGAAAGGACAAGACAGCAGCAAAAAATGTTGTAGATACTCATGGAGGAAAGTATTAAAAAGACCAAAAGGAAGAGCCCCACAAACACTCCTGATGGTTTTGGGACATCTCTTTACTGTTTTCTCTTAAAAGGACAGGAATCATTTCTCTTAGGGACTGTCCAAGGGCTGCTGTGGCACCCAAAGTAGGCCTTGCCTTACCATGACATCCTCCAGCAAACACACCCAATACAGTATGCAAAGAAATAAACATGATTTAGAAGCAACTGGTGGACAAAGACAGCCCTGACTTCTGTGCCCACCTTCAAAGATGGCTAATGGTGAGCGAGAGGAGAGCTGACGGGAGCAAGAGGCTGGGAGTAGAGGCGATTTGATTGTGACCTCATTTTTAACCTAGAAGGTGTCATAACATCCTCAGGTAATGGCCCCACAGGTTACTTGACCGGCCCTTTATGGGCAGTTGCCCTCCCGAGCCTGAGGGCCCCTATACTTACTTACCATGCTGTTTCGGTAATCCTTCCAATTTTCTCACAGCCTGGAGCTTGATCTGTGTGACCCAAGGTGGCAGGAGGGAGTCCTCAAATAAGCCTCATGAGCCAGCAGCTCAGAGAGCCCTGGTCAGCACTGGCCAGAGGGGGCCCAAGGGCAAGGCTGGTCTCGCTGTTTGACGGCCAGCATTCTTTTCCTCTTTCTTCCCAAGACAGCTCCCTCCTGCCACTGTATCTAGGAGTGACTTGGGGACTGTGGGGCTGTTCAGTTACTACAACCCAACCAGTGAAGTTGCCAAACTGGAATGATTATGAATCTTGTAACCTGACACCCAGTTGTAGGGGCTGGGACAACACCTGGAGTCATTCATAGGCCTCAGAACTGGTGACACACCTAAAGTGTTGCAAAAGCCTACTGGATTGAAGGCCTTTCATCCAACCAGGAGAACAGGAGGGCTGGAGGGCAGGCATTGGGTTGGGCTAGGTAATGACAGAACACTCTTTCTCTTTCTCTCCCTTCTGGTTGTTTGACTTCTCACCGTTGGGACGCTTTTGATTGGGGTTGCAGAGAGTTCGGTGTGGGGCTAAAGAACAGCCTACCTGAGCTATCCCTTTCAAATAGTTCGCTGTTTGAAATTCATCAGTGTGCTACAGCTAGGGCCAGGTCCTCTCCTCCAAGGCTCATTTCTGATTCATGCTCTGTCACATAGGATGGCTGGAACCATCCCAGGCCAAGGCTGTATTAAATGGAACCTTGGGATCAGCCCATACAGCTGAAAGGGACCTGGACACATGGAATTCCTGGGGCAAAATCTACCATCACATACAACTTAAAAATGTAGATAGCATTCTGCTTCACATCTGATTCTCCTGGGAGAACAGTAGGATGTATTTCTTGGCTCCCCCACTTAGCAGTGTGTTTCTATGCTCCGTCTCTTTAATTCTCATAGTCTGTCAAGGGTGATTAAAAAGTTTCTGATAGAAAAACAGTGATGGTTAGAGCCTGGGTCCTCTGCTACTTCCAGACAGGCAAATGGGCTGCTATTCTGATATCATAGAGGTACCGGGACACTCTGCATACATGGTTGGGCTGGATGGCTCTCACTGCTGAGTACCAGTGGTCTCATCTAAGACCAACCCACAGGGTCTTCAGGGCTTTCCGAATCCACAAGGCTCTCACTCTTCCCCAACCCAGAGCAGAGACCTTTAGAGCAGGAAGTTTGAGGTAAGGGGATGACTTGAGTAGAGAGGCTCCTCCTTTTCAAAGGAGAATTTCAGCAGTGGGGCAATGTGGGGGTGGGGCGGCCACTCGCAAGCCAGGCCTTCCTTGTTTGGTTCCTGCTGGTGCCAGGATAAACATCTGACTTATATGTTTCTGTTTCCTCACCAGTGCTCAGGTGAACCAGGAAGGAGGCAGCTGCCTGAGCAGGACTGCTGTAGGGCAGGGCTGATGGCAGGGTGATTGCTCAGCACACCCCACTCTGGCGTTGGCCCCGGCTCCCAGATGATTCTGGAAACCCATGCAGAGGCCTGGGAAGGAGACGCTGGGGCAGGGCTGGGCAGGCTGCTGTGGCACGAAAGGGAGGAAAATGCACAGCTTAGAGATGGAGGCACAACTAATCTACAACTCCATCTTCAGTGGGAGGTCTCAGCCTTTTTTGGGAGGTGTAGGTATGAGTATGGGTAGGGTACAGGGTCTCCTGTAGCTCAGGCTGGCCTCTAACTCACTGTTTTAGCCCAGGATATAAGACTTCAGCTCTCTGTGCCTCTACCTCCTGAATACTGAGAATAAGGAGTGCATCATAACTTTAGGCTTATGCAGTGCTGGGGATTGAACCTAGGGCTTTGAAAATGATAGGTAATTTCCCTAACGGAGCTACACCCCAACCCCTGCTCCCCATTTTAGATTTTCTTTCTGCTTTTCCCTCTTCCTCTCTTACCTCTGACTTCTTATGTATCTTTGTCTGTCTTTCTTCCTTCCTTCCTTCCTTCCTTCCTTCCTTCCTTCCTTCCTTCCTTCCTTCCTTCCTTCCTTTCTTTCTTTCTTTCTTTCTTTCTTTCTTTCTTTCTTTCTTTCTTTCTCTTTCAACAGTTTCCTCTTCCTTCTCCTTTCTCCTCCTTTACACACACACACACACACACACACACACACACACACACACCTTCAAAATATGAAGGGGATGAGATGACTCGGTTGAGATTACATACCATTCCACCCCCACAACCCCCGGAGGACCTGAGTTCAGTTCTTAGCACCCATTTTGGGCAGCCCACAATCACCTGTGCTTCTGGCCTCCATGGCTCTGCATGCATCCAGCCCCCTGCCACGGTGAACATAAACCACATACAGTGGCTCACATTTTCAATCCCAGCACTTGGGAGGCAGAGGCAGGCCGATTTCTCTCACTTTGAGGCCAGCCTGGTCTACACAGCAAGTTCCAGGACAGCCTGAGCTACACAGTGAGAGACTATCCCAAAGAAAGAAAACAAAATAACAGAAAAAGTAAATTATGTGTATGTATGTGTGTATGCATGTATGTATGTATATATGTATGCATGCATGCATGTATGATCTATGCTTCAGGCTTCACATAACCTGCATCATTTTCGGTCAATAGCATGGCTTTGGTAGCCCGGAGTCTGTATACCCCAATCTCAAAAACTATTTGTGACTGTGATAATTGGTTTAATCTCCCCAAGTTCCATCTTCCTCGTCTACACAGGGGTCATGAAGGGCCGGCCCCATTAGGTTTTTATGGAAGTTAAGTGAGATGATTCAGGTGACTGCTACCTGAAAGAGACTTGGTGAACGGGGCTGTTTTCGCTGGTCCTGTGGATACAGCCCTTTTGCTAAGTGCAGGGTTAAGGGAGAAAAGTCAGGCACTGAGCGCACCCGCCTTGGTCTGTTGGAGGAGACAGGACACACTCTGTCCTAAGCTGTTCTGATGGCAAAAAGATTCCAGACACAATAAGAATGCCTTGGGACTTAAGAGGCTCTTTCTCAGCTTCCACTATCCCTCTCTGCACCTTGCTCTATCCTCACCAACAGCTGTCTTTTCCCACACCTTTGTTCTCTCTCCCCCTTCCCCCAGTTTATAGCACTACATCTCACTGGGTAATTGTTTCTGACTGTGCATTTGATCTTAATATCAGCAATCATCTTGCCATCCATCCATACTCAACTATCAATCCATTCATACTCATCCGCCCGCCTAGCCACCGAAGGGATGTTTTCTATGGCATTATCGGTGTGGTTAGACACGATGGTTGGAAAAAATAGAAAAGATCTCTCTCAAAGCGCTTAGTCAGCCTGCACCCTGCACTTCTTCCTGTTAAGGCAAGGCCTTCAAACATCCTGTTAAGACAAGCCTGCTAGGCTGTCTGCTCATGGCATGTGCCCCTGAGAGTTTGATAGATATGTGGACGTTCAGCTCCCTCATCCCTCCACCAGCTCAAGCCGAATCCTCCTCTTAAGCTCTCTGGGTGAAGAATTACCTACCTCTGACAGCTCAATGCTGCTGCTGGACCAGTCTCAGGCACAGGGGCAGAAAGACACTGTTGTCTGTGGAGTAAACTGACTAAGACACTATATTACCCAGGCTAACCCCAAACTTGTAATCCTCCTGCCTCAGCCTTCTGAGTGCTGTAATTATAGGCAATTACACAAGGGAGGGGCTCTCCCTGAACCGAGACTGGCTGGATAGAGAGCTGTAGGGACCTTCCTGTCTCTGCTGCTCCGCTGCTGGGATTACAGGTGAGCTCTGCCATGCTTTGCTTTATGTGGGTGTCGGGGATTGAACTCAGGTCTTCACACTTGTTTGTGCGCTTTCCTGACTGAGCCATCTCTGCAGCCCCAGAGCCTACTTTTTCTTTTACTGTGTTGTGTATTTTAGACTGCAGACAGGGAGGACTTTGTGATTGGGCTTTTAACAAAAATCTGGTGTGAGAAATAAATGATTTCATCTTATTCGATTCTGCTCGTTTTCTCACGACCCAGGTACGTACAGCATATACATGGAACAATCTTTATGCACAGCTTAAATCTGTGCCATCACTACATCAGGCTACTTGATCTCTGTGCATCTCCTTCCACTTCTGTAACAGGACGGTAATAGGACCTGCCTTTGGGGACTGTTGTGATAAAATGCTTACAGAGGTACCTAGAACATATTAAATACAGGCAGCGGGATGAAAATGAGCGTTGGATGGCTCTTTCCCATCAAAATGGACTTTCTATTATACATATTATTGCCATCTTTTCTTTAGGTATCCCCGATTCTTTGTTGCTTCAGTAGTTGTGCATTTTGCCCAAGTTCCCGCTCCTTCTGCCAGTTATGTAGGTAGGGGCAGGGTGCGTCTTTTTTTGGCTTTAATTACCTGGGTGGTTCAGCAGCTGCACAGCTCAACCTGCTGTGGGATTACACAATGATGTAACATCCCACAGGAACGAAGATGGGAGGAGAGAGTGCTGTGTGGGGTTCTGCCTTCTGACAGGAAGGAGCTGGCTTCTTTCTCATTTGTGACTAGGAAGAACTGAGAAGACCCTGGTGAGACTCATAGCCTCTGTGGAGTTGCTTCCCACTGCTGCTGTGGCCTTGCCACAGAGTCAGCACATCACGTGAATTCCCATGAACCATGCCCTTTAACAACTCTGAGGTGTGTTTGGCCCAGTCATGTGCTCCTTTCACTTTGCAGAGAGGTTTCACCCTGGCTTTTTCGGTGAATGGGGATTGGTTTTCTGTTCCAATTCTGCCTAAGGGAAGCTGGGGTACAAGCAGGGGCCTGAGCTTGTAGAGGGTGAGAGGGTGGGCCAGGCATGGAAGGACTAACTGGACAGCACGCCAGCATGTTCTTTCTGGCACAACCCCTTAGTATGTCAGCAAAGCCTGATTCATAAGATGGCCATACTCTTGCCTTCTGCAGAGGGACTTCGGAAATGTTTTTTTGAGGATTCAGCTCCCTAAATCATCCAGGAAGCCAACATGCTGCTGCGGGGCACGGCCCTGCTGAAGCTGTGGGCTTGGGAAAAGACGGTAAGGGTATTGGTGTTTTATCTGACAGCGTGGAGGGGAGACGTGACACGTGGATGAAGAGACACGTTACTGTTTTACAGTCACAAAACACTTTCTCAACTTTATCTTGCTAAGAAACCCCAGATAGTCTACAAGAGAATAAAGGCTCAGAGAAATTCAATCACTTGTCCAGGCCTCCATAGCTGGCACTGGACATGCCCC